TCCCCAAGCCCCACCTCCTAACCCCATCGCATGGAGGGGAGGGTTCCAACATACAAAATGGGGGTGACAAACATGCAGGGGGGAGAGGGAGGCATTAACAAGTGGGTCACTGTGGAGGCAGGACACAGCCCCCTAGGACCCCGCCGGGAGCTTGTGGACAGCACACCTTGGAATTGTCCCCTTGTGACCCTTAGAGGCTGGATATTTAGTCTCCAATTCCGGCTCCTCACTGATTGCAGGTGATCCCTAAAACATTCCCGTCCTCACCCGTCCAGCCCCACGGCTTGCCTACTCTTAAGCAGGCAGAGCATCCTCCTGTGACCCCACGTTCTTGAGGTCCAGAGCCACCTGAGATATGGAACTGTCCACCACAGATGCAGGTGCCCTGGAGGGAGACGGAGGGAATAGGGGCAGGGCATTGACAATACGCAAACATGCGGTGCAGTGAGTGGTCCAACTGGGGGACCCCAAGTTCTGTAGGCCAGGCCCCAGGATAGAGGAGTGAGTGAGAACACACGTGAGAGAGCACAGAAGGTTTTGAATGCATAATGCATTACAGAGCTTGGACTCTGTCCTGGAAGTAGTTGGGAGCCATGGGAGGGAATCGAGGGAGAGCACGTAGCAAGGCCATAGCCATGATTTACACAGACCCCTCTGGTGGCCTTCTGGAAAATAGACGGCAGCCGGAAAGCCTGGAGGCAGACCAGTCAGAGGAGAGAGGAGAGTGTCAGAAGAACTGAAGCCAGAGAGGATGAAACACCCCCACCGCCCATCCTCCAGACCTGAATGGAGGCCTCTCTGGCCCCTCCTTCTTGGCCCCCAGGCCTCCACCTTGGCCTCACCCTTCCTGTGGGCAGAGCCCACAACAGCAGCCCCGGGCTGACCCTGGGTCCACCAAGAAGCAGGCCTCTCTGCTCCAGGGCCCTTGTGATGCCGTTCTTGTGCCCCGCCTCAGCTTCCTGCCCAGACCCCACTTCTGAGGAGTCACTGACACTCAGCCCCACACCTGGTCCTAACGCCTGAGCCCAGGTGTGGACAGGGGAGGGGAGCTGCTAGACAGTCACGGGCGTAGAGAAGGTTCTAACTTAGTTCGAGAGTCTGCTAGCTCCCCAGACCTGAAGTGTGGGAAGCCCGCACTCCTGGGAAGGCGTAAAGGTAAAAAGTCCCTTTCACTGCACGGAGCCTGTGCTTTTGCTTTCTGTCACCAGCATAAGGGGCCAAGCCCTTCCCAGGTGCCAGGTGCTGTGCTACCTTGGAAAGCCAGGGCCCCCGCTTCAGTGTCCTTTCGTACAGTCGCCGAGCATCGGTCCTGCGAGGACAGCCAGAGCTGTGGGGCGAGGACTGGCCTGGCAGGGAGCTGACAGGACCTGCCGGAGGCCCTAAGGGGCCACACCAGCTGGAGGCCCCTGCTGCCCTTCTTCCTGCCCGGACCTCGCCTGTCGGATCACTGAGCCCCTGCACAAGCCTAAGGCCCCCACCTCCCCACTCCCCGGTGTCCCCTGCAGAGAGAGTGATCCCACCTCCCTTCC